AACTACTTGACTTGGAGCTGATGGGTCCTGGAAAAACATTGTTTTCCAATAAAATTTCTAAAAAAAAAAGAAAAGATTGCCCCCAGATGAGCCATGAAACACTGCCTTCAACTTAAAAAGAAAAAAAACTCCCATAAAGGACTGGACATTTCCTGCCAATTTTGTATGGAGATAAGTGGGGCAATAACCACTCTTCGGTAAACATGACTTTATAAGACCTGTGTAACCTATTCCTAAAGCCAAAATTTGATAATAATATAGTCCCAAAATGTCTGAGAGCTGTGTTTAAAAATGCAGGGTAAGGCTGTGGTTGACCTTTACCGAATTTTTTACACAGGATTTGTATGTGCCTTACCTACAGCCCCTCTGTGCCTTGGCCACCAGTGTGCTTGTGGAAGTAAACAGGACAGAATGGCTGCAGCTCATGGAAGTGTTCAGTGGCAATATTAACATGAATAAGTACCCCGCACATTTTAACAATTTCAGTTACAATTCAGGTTTCCATGTTTTGCCTTCCACCTTTAACAGACTTGGGGAAGATTTTTCTGCTGAGATCTCTTGGGCAGCCTCTGCCTGTCACAATTAGGACAGAAACAGAACAGAACTTGTGCTTCCTGGTCACACTTATTTAGCACCATGCTAACCAGTGTTTAACCTTAAGATACTGTCAACGCTTTGTCAAGAGGTAAAGCATCTTGTTTCTTCAAGTAGTTGTCTTATCTCATTTTTATGTTGAGTTGTACGTCGCTGGTACTCTTACCATAAAAGTCCTCAAAGTCCAACTACCCATGTAGCAAGAAGTCCAGTAAGTTGTTCGGCGAAAACGTGTTTTAAACAGCAGTTGAACCTAGAAAAGACCCACTCTCCTCTACAGCTTTCTCTAAACAGGCCAAGTCTGGGGGTGCCTATGAGGTCAACCAAAAGTGAACTGGCTCTCTGTGCTTTAAACTTTCGAGGGAACAGGACCTAACACTGCCCCGAGGTGAGGCTAGACGTAGCCATTGGGGAAGTCTACCAAAGTTCTTATGTTGAAAACATGGGTCCTTACAAAAATTAGAATTCCACGAGCCTCCTTTCCTTTAGACGATGTTCAGAAGCTCCTGCAGGGCAGCCTCTGAATGTTCTGATGTTTCCTGACAGTGCTCTGAGGTTAACAGTCCTTAGTAATGCCTTTGTAATGATCAGTAGCATTCTCCTGCAGCTTCCTGACCTGGAGGCCCAACAGTAAATGACTGCTCAGAGTGGGCCTCGGAGAAAGCCTGAGGCTGTCTGTTGCTGGTAATGAGATTTACTGCTGTAACCAAATCCACACAGGAAGAAGGATCTGGTCAACTAGGCAAGACACTATACAGCCCAAACGCAACAAATCCTTGCCTTTCCCATAAAGAAAATCGCTTCTACCTCAGGCAGATGTATCAGGCACAAAAACCACACACAAATCAGCATGAGAAGTCAACTTGCACAGTGGAAGCCAATGTAGGCAGAAGGTTTAGAACAGAATTTCAGGTAAGGAAGACATGAATTTCAGAGTAAGCATTTAAGGGAGGAAGTTCCTCTGCACACATTAGCCATGTTTCACAGAGAAGGTGAGGCCACAGCTTCAGTCTGAGGTTAGTTCAGCTTCAGAGGGCCTTTGTGAAAGCTCTGACCAGAGCTGAGGATGAACCATAACAGCCCTGAAGTGTCTGTTAACCCCTGTGACTTGTCAAGGTGTTCCAGCAGTAGAAATAAGGAAGCAGGTTAGAAAACAAACAAAAAAAAAACCAAGGACCTTCTGATTCAAGTAAAGGTAACTGGAGGTAGAAGACGAAAACATAACACTAAAATGAAACAGTCTATGCAGGGGGCAGTGTCCTATCCTCGCTTCCAGTTCAATATTTACAAACAGTAATTGTCTTAGGGTACATAAAACCAAGAACTATGTGGCAACTCCAGAGCAAGTGACAAAAGATTTGTCATAGTTGCTGTGTAAGTGCCATCTGGTGGTCAGGCTGGCTGACCTTCCAGGTAACTAGAGGGGGCGCTAACCCACCAGCACAGAAGAACACTGGCCCTGAGCCTTCAAAAAACCAAGAGTTGGCTGCATTCAGCAGACCCTCCTACCAGATCAAAGAAACACAGCAGTGCAAGGCTAACATGATCTAAGAGTTGGCCACGTACTCAGTTCTGGACCATTTGGGTTTGAAGATACCAGTTTGGGGAAGGGAAGGAAGACTGGAGCAACCAATGCCAGGCCTTTTCCATTTTCACATGCTCGTGGCCATTGTGTGACAGCCTCTACTGCTCCTTGCTCCCTGTCACACAGCATGTCCAGGGATGCCAGCTCTGGAGCCATGGGTGTCTCACATGGGGGTCACAAATCCAAATAGCCAGAGGGGATGGGCAGGCAGTNATGGTTGATCATACCTAAAAAAAAAAAAAAGGAATTAAATAATAAAGCTGATTGACGTCACCGAGAGGCTAACAGCGTTTTGTGGGCAGGCCGGTTCGCCCGGAAGGGGCGCTGGAACTACGCTTCCCGGCATCCCTGGCGGCGGCGCAAGGCTACGGGAGCTGGGGAGGAACACGTTCGAGCTGCCCGCTCCATTCTAGCGCACCATGAGCAGGCTGAAAGCTGGGCGGCTGCTAGCAACGCTGCTGGCGCGGGTGCATCGTTTCCAGGGTCCGGCCCTGTTGTGGGGAAAGGGGGCGGCGTGCGGCGGCACCCGGGCCTGCAGCTACACTCCCGCCCGGGATGGCCTCGAGGGGCCAGTGCGCCGGCGCTCCTACTGGCGCTATGTACGGCGACTGGTGCAGGGAGCGCCAGAGCCGCCGTACCTGCACGTGTGCCAGGTCGGGGACCCGGCGTTACGGGCCGTCGCGGCCCCGGTAGAACCGGCGCAGCTGGCGGGGCCCGAGCTGCAGCGGCTGGTGCAGCGGCTGGTGCAAGTGATGCAGCGCCGGCGTTGCGTGGGCCTGAGCGCGCCGCAGCTCGGGGTGCCGCTGCAGGTGCTGGCCCTGGAGTTCCCCGAGGCGCTTTTCCAGGCCTGCGCGCCCCGCCTGCGGGAGTCCCGCCAGATGGAGCCCTTCCCCCTGCGTGTGTTCGTGAACCCCAGTCTGCGGGTGCTGGACAGCCGCCTGGTTATCTTCCCCGAGGGGTGCGAGAGCGTTGCAGGATTCCTGGCCTGCGTGCCCCGCTTCCAGGCTGTGCAGATCTCAGGTGCGGGGTGGCGGGGGCCCTGGGGCGGCTGGGTAAGCGCATGTGTTTCTTCCAGTGGCCTCGGATCCTACGAGTTTCCACAAAGCTCCAGTTCAAATGCTGACACGTTGATAGCTGATCAGCGGAATCTTCCGGCATGAACCAAGGGCAGGACCCGGGAGTGGATGGGACTGAGGATTGACAGATTGGGATGAGAAGGAAGCTCCTGTGAGAGCATAGCCAGTTCAAGTGGGGGTAGCGGGTAGGGAGTATAGAGTGGGGGTTGGGAGAGTGGCCTAGTTCCCCTGTACCTCATACCTGGTCCTCTGCTCAATGCCCTCTCGCTCGCTCTGTGTCTTTCTCACACACATTTCTGCCCCAAAGAGATCTGTCATGATGGAGTAGTGGGACCTGCTTTGCCTAACCCAGGGTGACAAGCCATTCCCAGTCTATGATAAAACAGGATGTTTTGTGGAATATGGTTTTTTGCAAAGGCTGGGATGACTGTTCCTCCTGAGCGAGCCACTGGGTCCAGAAAGTCAATGGTATCCCTTATTTTATGTATATTGTACCAAGCTGAAATACTTTTGTTAGAAATTGAAAGCAAACAGCAATACTTTAGAAAGCCGGGGTGGGGGGCAGTGTTCAGAAGAGAAGCACCTTATTAGGAAGATCATTTCTCATCTCAGCCCCATTCTAAGCCCAGCAACCTAACCGTTAGTTGGGACAGCCTGACTACTTGGTAATAGGTAGAGTTGAGGCATCTTTTCCAGGGAGGATAGGGGCTGCTGTCTAAGTTCCCGTCTGATGTTGCCTCCTGTAAATAGCAACAGCCAGGGGCAGAGAAAGGGTGAGGAGATTGAGAATGATGCAGTTCAGCATGTCCTCACCCAGACTGTTAACTTCTTTCCAGGGCTGGACCCCAGAGGAGAGCAGGTGGTGTTGCAAGCGAGTGGGTGGACAGCACGCATCATCCAGCATGAGATGGACCACTTACAGGGCTGCCTGTTCATTGATAAAATGGATAGCAAGACGTTTACAAACATCCACTGGATGGAGGTGAATGACTAAA